GCGGTTCGGTTGTCTACCAAGGCTTGTAATAAGTTCGGGGATGATCTAAAGGAGGAATTTGATGTCGCTCGCTCTGAGCGCGAGTTGCCTCGACGCTATGCGCCACGATCCCTCAAGGTATCACTCGGTAGTGAAGTGAAGATTTCCGGTCCAAACCAAGCTCCTGGTGTTGGTCACGCCTCTGCTTACTACAAGGATTCTGTTTACAAGGTAGTTGATCAAGAAGGAGTTAATGCGACCTTGTTAGAGATTAGAAAATCCGAAGTAGATGAGATTGTTTAGCACATCCCCAACATTCGTCCATGTTATGCGTAATTCTTGGTATGTTTGTCACTCGATCAGAGGGGTGATGCTGTTGTGACGTTGTGATCTCGTTGTCTCCTTCGTCATATCATTGTAGCTAGTAGCTACCACAAAGCTCGTCCCTTTTCTTATCGCCTTCATTGTAAATAAAATAAGTTATTCAATCTCATCTAGAGGCCCTGAGCTTATCACCAATGACTGTTGCTGAGTCCTCGGAGGAGCTCGTACACCAGCATACCATTTGGTTCCGCAAGCAAATCGACGAGACCATCACTAAACCCTGGAACCTAATATCCAAGGATCCGCGGGTGTAGACGGAAACGAAAGATATTGTCATAGGCTATGACTCATCAGCTACTGGCGGTCTGTTTAGCCCTGCAAGAGGCAGTGCGCCATTTCGGTAGACTTTCGGACTACAGAGTCTCTATACACGTGGACAAGCAAGCCGTCGTCACTATTCTCAGGAGTATGTATTCGAAGAACCCAACATTGGCAACATTGCTACGTTCCATCGTCTACTGTCCCGCGAGACTGGCCCTTACGGACTGCGTAATTCGGTGGATACCCTCCGGTGAAAATTGGATCGCCGACAGAATATCCCGTGGAAATTCCGGAAACGAGAACACACGTCGCTCCGCTGCCGAAAAGGGACAGTCGATACACAGCGCACGCGCGCAAGATTGCAACTCGTATGCACGCATCAAGAATAGCTTGCAGGTCAGAGCGCCGCGTAAATGGGGCTGTCATTTTGCTCAACTCATCCCTCCCACACCGAGCGCAAGAGCCGTGCTGCTTGAAGACCGCACTTCCCCATCTTCGATGTCGACGCGACATCCTAGTGGTATCACGGGTACCAAGCAGCATTAATCTTGCGAGTGCGGCCTTCAAGCGACCTGAATCAAGCCCGAGTCGGGCTGCTCGACTGTTCATGGACAAGCCTAGCTT